AAATTTATGAAGGTTGACTTTTAGCACCCAATTTTCTAAAGTTGAAGGTGCATATCCCCACTGCGTGCAAGAGTTCAACGTATTTTGAAGTAGTGCATCTCCAGTAGGATGGCTACCATCACCTTTGAGAGTGATGCACTGTGAGTAGCTATCCCACAAAGCCTGCACCCATTTGCATCCTGGGTTGTGTGCTGAGTGTATGCTGAGAACAAAACTGTGCAACAGGCAGTTCTGGATACATGTCATCAGCATCCCATAATGTACTTGTTCCCTCCTCCATCACTTGAGAGCAATGGTAGTCTTTGGTACCTTTTCCCCTTGGTTATTTGCACAGATGCCATAGCAGCGTAAGCCATGAGCACACTTTTCTGTGAAGCACTTGAGTTGAACTGGCAAATGCTGCCAGCATTCAATCCTCTGGACACAGTGGCACACAGGATCTGGTGACATCAGACAAGTACAGTCTGTTGGGACTACATTGTGATGCAGCCATGGGACGATCTGTAGAGGCTACGAAACTTTGTATGCGTGAGGCCACTTACATGGAAGTTTGCAAATTGCTTTCCTGAAGCACAAGAATATAAGAACGAGACCTGCTCTGAAAGTGGAGATGTGTGTGGAAATTGCCCTCTGGAAGCTTAAAATGCCAGACAACTACCAGTCAGTTGTAAATCAACTGAGTGGGGAAATCTATAGCGGAGGCTGCTGTGATCCAAGCTGTCAAGGCAATCAATACACGTCTGCTACAAAGCATAGTGACTCTGGGAAACTTGGAGGACAGTAAAGGTCTTTGCCATGCTGGGTTTCCCCAGCTGTGGAGGGACATCCATCCCCATCTTGGCACCTAATCACCATGCCAAGGAGAACATAAACCCCAAGGAATACTTCTCAAAAGTGCTGGAGGGGCTGGTGGATCACAGGACCATTTCACTGACATCAGCGTGGGATGGTGGTAAAAGGTGCATGATGCGCGCATCTTTAGGAACTCCTGCCTCTTCGTCAATCTGCAAGCTGAAACTTTCTTCCCAAACTAGAAGATTATCATTGAAGACACAGAAATGCCATTAATGATCCTTGGTGACCCAGCTTACTCCTTGCTCCCATGGCTCATGAAACCATATCCGGGTAGCCTGGACCACAGTAAAGGAGCAGTTCAATTCCAGGCTGAGCAAGTGCAGAATGGTGGCAGAATGTTTTTGGGGTGTTTAAAGCAAAGGTGGAGAACCGTTTTTGGGTGGGGGCCACTGACGCACAGAAAAATCGGTCAGGGGCTGCACACAAACTAGAAAAAAATCCCATCTCTGACGTGGCCAATGACTGAGGAGAAAGACACTCCCCACATTCCCCTTCCACACCAGGGGCCCAGCATAGTAGATTTTTTTGTGCTCCCACCCCACAGTGGGGCAGTGGCAGGGCTGGAGCACCAGAGTGGGCTCCCCAATGCTGGGGGAGGCCCGGACTCAGTCAAGCCGGGGGGCATGAGGCTCCCCACCCCTGGTTTAAAGGGAAGGTTCCACAGTCTATTGACTAGGCCAGATCTCAGCAAATGAAACATTCCCATTGTGGTGACAGCCTGCTGCGTGCTCCATAATATTTGTGAGAGCAAGGAGGAAAGTTATTTGCCAGAGTGTGGGGGTAGGGGGACGAAGGGTGCCCAATGCCTAGGCAGGGATTTTGACCAGGCAGTCACTAAGGCAATAAGACGACCACAGCAAGCAGCAGTGCAATTCAAAGAGGCTTTGAAAGACAGTTTTGAGAGCCATACATATTACTCTTAACAAGGTGGCCCTGCATTAAGTGTGCTTGCCTTTAACCACCTCCTCACCCTTCACCAGAAGAAGGAAAGAAACTGTTGTTCAGAAAAAATGTGTTTTTATTTACCCTGAACACTGCAGGGAAAGAAAAAGAGGGGGAAGGAGGAAGGTGATCACAATTGTGAGGACAGCCTTTTGCTTTGCAGTGCATCCCTAGAGGTTGAGCGTGAGGCTGTCCTTGGCTCACCCTTCTGCCCCAACCGTTGCATTCTAGGGCCCCTGGGAGAGGAGGCTATGTAAGGCGGTGAGGCAGAAATGTTGGTCCAGAAGGGCTGGAGGAGATGCCTATACATGTAGGTGTCTGGAAAGTTACCGTGCGGTCCATCATGTCCACCATGATCAACAAGACTCTCTCCTGGTTCCTCACTTCCAGTTATCTGCACACTTTCCCATCTTCATGTTTCACACACATCTCCTCCAGCACCATATTACTCCCTCGCTTAAGTGTTCCCTGTCCAAGTGGGCAGATTGCATTTGCTCCTTGAACACATCATCCCTATTTTTGCCTGTGGATTTGGACAGTTAATGGGTCCAGTAGCATGCGCAGTAGGCTCACAGCTGTTCCCACTGTAACAGAAAATGAAGGGCAGACTTTTCAGGAGATACATTGTAGAGTGTAAAAACTAATCTGTTACAATAAAAGGAAGGTCTGTCTAAAGAAAATAGGGATGAGTTACATACATCCACAGTCATGCTTTTAAGTGGCCATTATGCAGCAGGTACACTTCAGAGTTCTTAGGGGAACAGCTGGACTCAGTCTGGTGGTAAGCAGGCATGGTAAGAGACAGGCTGAGGCACAAGATCTGTGGGAGGGAAGGATGGAGGGGTTTGGGTGTGGTGGCAGGCAGGGGCTCATATGGCCCTTTTGTGCTCAACACCCCCAATTTGCTGGGAGAGAGTGACAGGGGTAGATGCTGACAGTGTGGCCAGAAATGTGGACCTTATTTTGCAATGCTTTATGCTGCAATTATGTCAGACCACTTACTGCTGGCTTGGCATGGAAAGACGTCCTACCGTGGAGGATGGAATAAGGCAGCCCTCCCCAGAAACCATGTGAAAAGTATTGACGAGTTCCTCTCTGAAAGCTTTATGGAGATGTGCATGGAGAATTCCTGTTCAGCCTCCAGACACAAACTGTTCTGGGGAGCCCCCACTGCGTAGGTAGAGTGGCCCCCACAGATCACACCCAATTGCCTTAACCCGCTTATAGCATGATAGAAAATATGAACTTTCCAGAAGTGCCCTCCCCATGATCAGTGCCTGACTGTCAAACGTCCTGGGAGGAAGGGAATGCCTCCAAGAGGATAAAAAGTTCTTGGTTCTCTGTGACATCAATTGACTTGCTCACTTACTGACCATTCTTCTCTTCCTCATCCACGCTGTCCTCCATGCTGCTGCCTGAGGTGGTCAGAATGACTTGGAGTAATCCATGGACTGGCTAGAGAAGCTGATCATGTCCCTCCCAATGACTGCATGCAGAGTTTGTGACAATGCTCCAGACTGTTTGCCTCCTTTGTGTTTTGGTACGACTGCCTCAGATCCTTTATTTTCCACTCGGCACTGCTGGGCATCTCTGGTGTATCCCCTCTCCTCCATGCCCTTTGCCATTTTGGCAGAGATAGCTGTGCTCCTTTTGCTGGTCTGCAGTTCTGCGAGAACAGATTCCTCACCCCACACAGCAATGAGACCCAGCATTTTTTGCATGCTCCATGCTGGTGGTTGTCTGGGAACTCATGGTCAGCTGTACCACCTGCTCAGAGGGCTGTTCACCTTGCTGGCCACACAGGAAATGAAATTCATATTTTCCCGGGCTTTTCCTGTTCACCTGGAGAGCAGTAGAGTTGAAAGTTGTGGCCAGAGTGTTCACTGCAGGGCACTGTGGGACACCTCGAGCAGCCAAGAACTGGCACTCAGAATATGCCTACAGACCCCAGGCAGGAGCAAAGCCTGGGCTCAGTTCAGACTTAGTAGGGCTAAAGCACATTGGGCCCAGCCAAGAGGGCCTCTGAACCACTACAATCTGGTGTCCAGCAAGAGGGATGCATGTGTTACTTATGTGTGTGACACTGTTATTCATGTGGAGTCACAGATAACTGGCTTTTATCCTTTCCCCTAATGTTGCTAGGAGACACTGGAATCCAAATTTGAGGAAAAGAAAGAGGTAGTACTGTGCCTCACCAACATATGTATAATCATAAAATATCCCATTCTTCCCTTGACAGTTTAATAGTCAAAAAAGAAGGACTAAAAAAAGAGCAAAAGTAGCAAACTTTTTTTTGCACTAGGCCCACGGCCATTCTCACAAACGATTTTGTTAAAAGATTCTATTCCAATGCACCAAATGCAATTCGATTATTCCATTATATCTTAATTTACTCACTGTGTAACTTGGAAGAGCAGTTCAAATTCTACTATATTTTTATCCGCTACTATGATCAAGCTATGGTGTAGAAATGGGGTTAGCTGCAAGCCCTGGTGTAGGGTTAGTTAGCTTGCCTTAAAAAAAAAAAGACCCCGAAGGCAATAAAAAGGTAGAATGATATTCCATACAAAGTTGTATACAAGATAATCTTGCATTTTATTATGTAACTAAAAGATAGTTACCCTCAAAATGTGTTTTTACTCTAGTGCCACTTAATCTTGCTAGACTCCTACAATTCTCTTAACCTTACACAGCTTTTTGCACAGCTAGGCATTCACTTACATATTTACTGCATCACCAAAACTTGCACTGAGCACAAGATGCCTTCCCATCCCCTTTTCTATGAATTACTTGAAATGTCTTCATATTTTTTCCAGACAATATGTAACTATAAGATTTTATATCATATTTTAATCTGAAAACTGCTTTCATTTCTTAATGGGACAGAAGCTTTCAATAGGAAGACAGACAATAGGAATGGTTGGCTGATGAACAACAATTTTAACAACAGCTCCCAAATCTCCACAGAGAAGAGACAAATTTCCAAGAACTATAGGCAGTATGCTTTAAGATTTGTGGTCTCTGTAGTGACTACTGCTATAGTGAACTAGCCACACTCTACCATCCAAATAGCCACATATGACTAGTGGCTAGCATGTTGGACACCACATCTTAGATAAAAATAATTGGTACACCACTGATAGGAGAAGATATATTACGAAAAAATGTATTTCATGAAAAGTAACTATACAGAGAAATCTTACTTCCTTCAGTGTGAGCCTGTCGATTCTTGTAGAGATGCTCAATCCGTCCAGTGTTGAAAGAACTAGATCGGCGAACAATTCCATGCACCTGTAATTTAAATGAGAAGGGTAGAAAAAAATATGAGATTGTATTCAATCAGTGAACTTTGATTTCGATTGTTAACATAAATAATTGCATAATTAAGAGAAACTAAGATAGCTCTAGCCATCCCTATCCAAACAGACAAGTGGAAAATCTTGTAACAGATACCCTTGAGTCCTAAATCGAACACAAAGCCTGTAACAGTATCAGTGACAGCCTAAGTTTCTCAGGGTATGTCTACACAATTTTTATTTTGGGAGAAGAATGCAAGTAGCGCTGCTCATTTGCATACTCCCTCCGGGTTTTTTTGGGAAGACGATCTTCCGGAATTTACCTGCATCTACACACGGTCAAATTTCAAAATAAACCCCTATTTCGAAAGACCCCTATAAACCTCACTGTAGAAGCAATATGTGCCTGCCTGATATTAAAGAAAAGCCAGTTTATGTATGACACACTAGAGAAATTGTTCAAAAACTGATCCCATTTCTTCTTTATGTAAAGATAGCCTCCTCATTGGTGGCAAGGTTTATGTCAGTTTAGCTCATCAAGTGCTGCTTGTATAAATGAAAGCTACAACTTTAACACCTGACTTTTTCCAGATATTTCAGAAGTTTTTCCAATCAAAATTTTAGGCAACTTCTTTGCTTGTGTTGGGCCATCACCCATACACAGAATAGCTTGCAACCAAGAGCACTGAACCACCCGAACAAAACTTCTGGATGGCATGCAGGAGTCCCATATTTTGTTCTGTCTAAAATAAAAACAAATGGACTAAACTATACCCTAAGAAGTAGACTGTATAATCTAGCCCAGGGGTGGCCAACCCGAGAAAAAAGAAAAAAATTGCAGCTCCTGATGTAACCGGGACAGAACCACTCAAGTCGTCTGTTCTCAGTCGGGCCGCTATGATCCTTATGCATGCTCATGGCCCACTTCATGCCACTCACAGCCCCCAGAACACTGTGTCATATCCTGCAAGTGCAGGACAGGTCGCACACAGCGTCCCAGCCTGCACGTGCTATCAGCTGGCCACTGCGTGCAGGCAGCGGTTTGGGACCCAGGCATAAGGTTGGGGGGCAGGGAGAGATGCCTGGCTCTGGAGAAGGGGAGGGGAGATGAGATCAGGAGCAGGGGGAGAAGGGGCAGTGCACATGGCATCCCAGATGCGGCGTAGTGGCTCTGGCTCCGGGACCCGAGCATAAGGTTGGAGGGGGAGGGGGTTTGGGTTACAGCAGGGAGGGGAGGTGTCTGGCTCTGGGGAAGGAAAGGGGGATTGGGTTGCACACGGTGTCCTGGCCAGCTCATGCTCAAGGCTGGCTGCTCAGCGCACGTGCCCCAATGCCTGGAGGGAGACGCGCAGCTGTATCTGCAGTGGTGTCGGCTCCGGGACACGAGAATTAGGTTAGGTTCTGGCGCGCTTCCTGAAATGCTGGATCTGTCACACCACTGGAGACTTTTCCCCCTGCTGCCTGCCTGCACGGAGGTGATGGGAGAGAGTAGGAATCCTGGGACCCCCTCCCCCTCAATCTTATGCTCGGGTACTGGAGGCAGAGCTGCTGCGCTGCATCCAGGATGCCATGCGCACCGCCTCCCCTCCCCCTGCTCCTGATCTCCCCTCCCATTCTCCAGAGCCAGGCATCTCTCCCCCCCAACCTGAAGTAAACACAACATTGCTGCTCTTATTAAATTATTATTAAATCGAAGATGCTGACTTTATTATGTTGATCTTGTCTTCTTGTTATTATATCATCTTTAAACTTAGCTAAAATGTCCAACATAACTATATAATCAACATTACCAGTAGACTCGTTTCCTATTTCAAAGTTGGTGCGTTGTTTTAGATAGGAAACAAGTCAAAGTATTACTACAACGTGATACCGGTAATATGAGTAAAAATCAAATTGCGTAACACACGGACACATATGCCCATGGAAGGGTGCGTGGTAGGGAAAAACTTGTACAACCCGCGGGCTATATTCACTAATTAATGGTAGTCAGGTCCTGAGGATGTCGGACCAGGGCAGTCCAACACGTATAAGGAAGGAGTGTGGATATGAGCAACACATCTCAAAGAGTAAGTTACGAGAGGTAGGTAACAGTTTTCTCAAGTGCTTGCTCATGTCCATTCCATGGCAGGTGACTCACAAGCAGTGCTTCTGGAGGTGAGCAGGAGTTCGTGTACGTGTTGCTTTTAACACCCTTCTGTCAAAACTAGCATCATCTGGGGCTCGCTGGGGGATGGCATAGGCAAAGGCTCACATCACAGCCCTGCAGATGTCCTGGATCAGAACATGTTGCAGAAAACTACCAATAATGCTTGCACTCGCTTTGAATGAGCTGTTGCTAACAACAGAAGCATAGGTGACTCGTGGTAGCACCCAGGAAGTGCACTGCCCCAACGTGCCCCTGCCAAAACTTTGATTGCTAAATGAGGTTCTCTTTCTGCCTGTTCCTCTGTGTTGCCTTCCCTGAACCTTCTCCCTTTGCAGGCACTAGTCACCTATGAGCAGAAGCGTGGCCTCTGCTCACATCAGGAACACATGCAGGAGATGATCCAGGATACAATTATTTGAGATGACACCTAGAGACCCTTCATTCTCCCACAATGAAATGAAAACACAATGAAAAGTGGAGCAGACCTGCAGATGGGCTTGGTTAGATCAAGGTAGAAAGAAAGGCATGTCAGACATCCAAAGTACGCAGATGCCTCTCCTCACTGGAAGTATTTGGCTTTGGTAAGAAGACTGGCAGGAAGATGTCCTGATTAACATGAAACTACTTTGGGCTGGAAGGTGCTAAAGAGAAAGATCTACAATTGGTATGTTTTCTTAAAAGCCCTAACTGTCTGACCACAGAGTCACCTCTGAGCTTGGCTAAGGGGAGTACCTAGACATCATGACGGGTTTCCTCCTGGAGTGCACCTGTGGACACATAGGCACTGCTAGCATTGAAGACTTCTCTCATCTAATAGGGGAGAACGGCACCATAAGGTGCATCAATTTTTTTTCCTGCCTCAAAGGGTTCTGGTGTCAATGGAGACTCCAGTGGGCCTGGGGAATGCTGTGGCTATGGATTCAACTGCCCTTCATGGATAGGAGTGGACACATGCCTAATTGGAGAGTTTGAGGAGTGGCCCTCATGGGGTGGCATGTCTCTTGATTTAGAGAAAGTCTGTCCCTCTAGTTTCTTACTCTTTTGAAGGTAAGACTGGTGCCTTTCTGATGTCCCCCTCACAGAGCCATGGCTGTGCCTGCAAGAGTCTCTCAAGTACCAACGAGTATGGGCACCAATGAGGTGGTGCTAGGCACTGGGTCTTCCGGTTGCGGGTGAGATTGTGGGGACAGAGCCAACTCCATAGGGACAACCATCAATTGCTGGGTCCTCTCCTTCAGAGTGCTAGGGCAAAACTTTTAGATGCAGCAACAGTCCCTTTGGTGACCCTCACCCAGGTACCACAGAGAGGAGGAGTAAGTTACTTACTACACTCCAATCTAAACCACTGTAAAGAACCCAGAATGCCTAGAACCTCAAGGTTTAAATATGCAGTATGAGCCTGACATGGATTAGCAAGGTTTTTACTGCTTAGTGCAATTTCCAAATTAAAAGTTACTTCTATGAGTAGGTTTTTTTCTTTGCATTACATCATCAATTATTCCCTAATTCTTTTGGCTTGCACAGGTTGCTGCTTATCTAACTTAGCGGGAAGCATGCAAAGCAAATATACCCAGAGGAGCAGAGGGAATCCACCAGTGGACGCTACATGATAAATAGTACAATAAGCTGGCATGATTACAGGCTATGCTGCACATTCTTCACTGGAGTTTTGATTTGTTATCTAGGACTGAGTGGAAAACATACGCAAAGGAGGACAGCAGCAAAGGAAGCTAGAGGTTGCTGTATCCAAGTATTTCCATCAGCCTGCAGTCGGTCATT